ACATCAGGAGGCGCTACTTCACGGTCAGGGCGGCTAGAGTCTGGAACCAGCTTCCAAGTGAGGTGGTGCAGGCTCCCACCCTGGGGGTTTTTAACAGGAGGTTGGACGACCACCTTACTGGAGTCATTTGACCCCAGTGCTCTTCCTGCCATGGCAGGGGGTCGGACTAGATGATCTGCTCAGGTCCCTTCCGACCCTAGAAACTATGAAACTATGAAATTTCATATTTGGCACTAGGTACATTGTCCTAATCAACATACATACCTTAGTAAAGCTTAAGTTTAGGTCAAGCCTAAAATAACATTTTATGCAAATGCTGGTTCAACTAAGTCATACTAAAAGTCTAAAAACTATTCCCAATCATATGGGAGGTCTGAAATTAAATAAGAAAAAAAAATGAGAATATTAAAAAGATTCTGATATGCAGTCCTCTATCCAGACTTCCCTTGTTTAGTGAACTGGAAAATAATCACTTGATCACTGGGTTATTAATGATAGTTTTGTTTTGTTTTAAGAATAGAAGATGAAAGTAAAGAACTCAAAGCTGAAGCCCTGGCTGTGGAGGGGGAAGGTACCTTCACTACTGAACCAGAGGTCTTTGACTTTGATTTATACTTCTTAAAAAGTTTAACATTCCCTAAAACCTGATAAATTATCAGACACATTCATCATTTAGTGTACACGAAGCTGGAGTTCACTATTAGCTTACCAAACACAAACATGCTGCTCCCATAAACTACTGCCGAATGGTGATACCGAGGTGCTGGAGGACTCCCAGTAGTAAAAGCCCTGCATGGCGTGACAAAATTAAGTTTGACTTCTGCTATTTGTATGCTTCAAGTACACAACAGCAGTAGCTTAAGTTCAATGTAGAGATTTGGGGGGGGGGGTAGGGCGGGGAGGGGAAAGAGGAAGGGCAAACACTTAATTGAAATGCTTATTTCAGTTTAATATGTTAGCATTTTTGTAGTTCTACATACTTCTTAATCATTCTGGACATGATGTTACGATGGATTAAACTCAATACAACACTTTATCTTGTGTATCTAGTCCCCACAGCTTACAATGGGCTTGCTGAGCTAACACCTACATGCTGGCTAAATGAGATGTTACTAGCAGTGTAAATGACTAAAACAGCAATTTCTGCATGAATAGCAGTCATGCTTAAGGATAAAGGCACTGCTTATGACTGGCTGAGATCCAATGCTGCGGTAAATAGTGCAATTTGCTTGACAAATGATGGCACGTACTGGCCACAGATACTTTGAGCAACAGGGACTGTATGAAGTCATGCAAAGTTTAAAGGTTAATGCTGAAATAAAGGTTCTGTACAGATACCAGGGGATAGCACAGAACCCACGACTCAGCAGAAACAATGAGGCTAAGGTGCCTTTAAAAGACATCTCTGCATTCTTCCAAACCTGGGCAATTCTGGGGCTGAAGGAAAGGAGCAGCAATGCCTCCTCTACATGTCAGACGGACACTTCTGAAGGGGCAGCCTTCTGGTATTGTTCTATGGACTAGTGTCTCTCACAACTTCCGCAGCACTGCAGATTGCAGCATCACTCTAACATGAAATCTTGCCTTCAGCCCTGCACCTGACATGCCATAAACTCTACTGCTGGTGAGGATCATCCAGAAACGAGCATTATGACTGAGCATGCACAAGGAAAATCCTCTTTCTGTTAGATGCAAAACTCTAAGAGACTCTTTTACACAGATCTGCCCCTTTTTATCTATTGTAAAAGGACTGGAACAGAGATAAGCATCGCAAACACAGGGAAAATAAAACAACTACAGCTCAAAGCAAAAATGTACTTTGGTTAACTCATTTTGAACAGCTGTTAAGGAATGCAAGGTTCAGAAGCTCAGTCAATAACCAACAAAAAAACATTTTCATACCTGCACCAAGAGCAATCCTTCACATCAAATCTTAGCAGGTCATTCAACATTGTTTTTCTGCAATGAAACACAGTAGGAATATGTGATCAGCACTTAGCTATGTATGTGGGACAAAGACAAACTAGAGCTGTGTAGATAGAGTTGTGCAGAAAATTTTGACAGCTCAGTCCTCTTGGAAATGTAGTACATGATCACTACATGATCAAGAACTGAATTGTAAAGCATTTGTGCAAGGAGACATGTGCATGTTCAAGCCTGCCATCTGCATATCCTAGCTCCAAGAATTAGACAGATTACATTTGTAGTGATTTGCGAGTCCCATGTTAGGCCTCGGACACATTATTTTGCAGTGCTTTATGTGTTATTATAGCACTACAAATAGTGAGTGTTCACACATCCAGGCTGTTTATAGCGCTACAAAAATGGCAGATCTGAAACTTCTTCATGGTGCTCCATAAAACATGGGCAGTCACATGTAGCACAACATGTAGCACAACAGAGATGCTCCCAAGACTCCCAGCATCCCTGAAAGCTCTGCTCTCCCTCCCCCTGTCTCAGGGCAAGGGAGGAGAGTAACTGACTGCCTGACAGGGCATCACAAGCAGAGCTGCATCTCTGTTCCCTTTGATGGCTATTAAAATCATAGGTGTCTTGCTCTGTCAAACAGATGATTGGCAGCTGATCATGTCATCAGTAAGTCTGTCACAGCTGTCAGGAGCAGAGGTACAGCACTGCTCACCATTGTAGCTGCCCCTGAACAATCCCTGACCAGCTGTTTTGCAAAGCAGGGCAGCCACAGCTGTCAAGCACAGCCCCCTACCATGGGCAGGCAGAAGCATAGCAAACAGAGTACAAGCATCAACAGCAGGAGGTCTCTGGAAACTTCAAGGCCTGTGAGGACATACACTCTGTTCAAGAGAGTCCTGGAGCTTACAGTGAAGAACAATACATCTTGAGCACACAAGTCATAGATTCATAGATTAAGGGTCGGAAGGGACCTAGAAGATCTTCTAGCCCGACCCCCCGCCAGGGCGGGAGAACAACAAAAAACCCCAAAAAGAGAAATGGGACTCAAACGAGTCCAGCCAGGTAGGCATCCAGCCTCTTCTTAAAGACCCCCAGGGTAGGGGCCAGCACCACTTCCCTTAGAAGTTGGTTCCAGCTCCTAGCCGCCCTAACCGTGAAAGTCAATGTATTTCTTACAAAGGACTGAATATCTTAAGCCTCTGTAGTTTAAAATCTGAAAATAATTACTCTAATGAGCCCTAGAGAAGAACAGTAGCAGGGAATCTTGTTCCACATCTTCTATAAACAGCTTGAGCTGTTACATACCTGAAGGTGCTACCGTTTGGCGTAACGGTATGTACAAAGGAGAGGGAATGAAGCTACAGCTTCCTTTGCTTCTTAAGAGGAAGCAATAGTTTGCAAAATGTGAATTTCAAATCCTTTTAAGATGAGTCTGGGAGCATCCACACGTGCACTTAAATGCGCATTAGCCTATTTTAATACTCATTAAAGCACCACTGGAAAAAACTATACTATTTAGTTACATTAAGACAAGCTAACACGCATTTTCCTAGTACCTCACAGTGGAGGTCATAGATTTAATGCGCAGTAACTAAAACACATTCATGCCCACGTAGACACACTCGCTGTGTATAAAGCCAGGCGGTGGCTCTGAGGGCGTGCTGCCATGCTGTGCGTACAATTAAGCTGTAACGGATGCATTTCTTTTCAGTCTAAAGCAAGTGGGTGCAGACTCCATTACTGTCACAGCAAAGGGCATCAACAACGCTGTTCTTCTTCGGGGGGGGGGCAGGGACTGCTGATTACAGCAGCACAGGCGGCAACAACTGGGTCAGCTGCAACTGGATGGTGGCTATCCTTGCATGCACCCCCCGCTGCCCACTCTCAGGGGGTCAGAGCAGCCTTGGCACTCCCACCACTGACCCAGTCCTGCTGTCAAGCACAGCCAGCTGACCAGCCACTGCACCCATACACCTGCCCATCCGGGGGAGGGCGAGCAGAGCATGCCTCATTCCTGCCCCGCGGGCAGCTGGGGGCTGCGGCAGATGGCGGTCCCCCCACGTTTAAACTCCGCGCGGTCCCGGCGCTCACCCGTTGTCGCCACCGAAGACGTAGATGGCGTCGCGGTAGGCCACCACTGTGTGCTTGCTGCGCCTGCGGGGAGACAGCGGCCGTCAGGGAGGGCCCTACCCGCGGGCCCCTACCCACCGCCCCCCAGCCCGGCCCCGGCGCGCACCGGGCTCCCACGAACTCGTCTAAAGGCGGCAGGCGGCGCCAGCGATGCACTGTCTCGAAGGGCCCGAAGTTAAGAGTCAGGTACTCGACGCTGTCTGAGCAGCTGTGATCAAAGTCCACGCTCGGCGCCACCTTGGAGCGTCCTGCCGCGCCCCCTGACAGTGGCCCCGCGCCCCCCGTCGCCGCCATCGCCCCGGCACGGGCGCTCCCGGCATGCCCTGCAGCTCCCGGCGTGCCCCGCTCCGAGCCTGCGGGAGGGCACTAGAACGTCAACTCCCAGCATGCCCAGTGCCGGGGAAGGAACTGCCGTTCCCGACATGCTCTGCACTAGGCAGGATGGAGACTACCCCTCCCGGCGTGCCCCGCTCCGAGCCTGCGGGAAGGCGGGGAGATGTCAACTCCCAACATGCACAGGGCCGGGGAAGGAACTACCATTCCCGACATACTCTGCGCTCGGCAGGATGGTGGGGGAGGAAGACTGTAACTCCAGGCATGCTCTGCACCGCAGCCCGGGGCGGAGACCTCAGCTCCTGCGAGGAAGAAGCGGCCAAGACAATTCTCGCAGGGCTCATGGGGGGGGGGGGGGGGGGGG